AATCGAAATATACAAGTTACATTATATCCTAATAGTAAAACAGGCTACAGAAACATGCCTATAATGTATTAAAAAAAAAAAACATATATTAAATCTATTATTACGATATTAAATATTAAAAAAAATTTTGTTACATTACATATGAATTTTTTCGAATGAAATTGCAAATGTTAGGTATAGTTATTTGATTATTATTATTATAAGCATTTTGATACTTTAATATCAATCAGTAATAAATGTTATTTTTCGTAATTTTGTTATTTTAGTCTCAAATATTATAAATTGTTAAAATAATAAGTATTGATATTAGGAATATACTGCGTACAAAAATGTATTTTTATAGTTAATAATTTTAAACATAGTTTGAAAATTACCATTACAATAAAACTGCACATTATTTTCTAAATATCTAATATACATAACATTAATGAGATAACTGATTTTTATATTTGGAGAATTTATGTTTGTGTAATAAACAAAAAAATTGCACCACACATTAATTTAATTATAATCATTAAATTACTGCAGTATTTCGTGCGAAGGAGATAAAAATCGATACAATCTACCTGTAACTAGACAATCTTTGATTATTTTTCTATAATTTGTAAATTTCATCAATAACACGCGACGTCAGTATAACGACTGCCACTCCTCCTTTGGACATGCAAGACGTCTATATAGACACCTTAAAAGTAAAAAAAAATAACGATAATTTTTTTAATGAATATTTTATAAAAGTCAATAATATATACATATACATAAGTATAGTATTATACATTATTATTAAATATATTATCTATTTATATAGTTGATAAGTAGGTATACCTAATAATATTATAATTAACGAAATGAATAAAATATCCGTTTTGATAATTTTGTTATTTTATAATTATTATTAGAATAGTGCCTAAGTATACTTAGAGTAAAATATAAATCTTTAGTTAATTATATTTAAATAAATAATTTCTAAAATATAAAAATAAAATTATAATAGACACATACAGGCATAAAATATAATGTTCTCAATACATTTTCTCTATGTATATACAATTTTTTTTTTACTATTATGTTTAAATTTTAAGAACAACAATTTTTAAGTATAAGCAATTTATACATATATTGTGGTATAATTTAAATAGAATAACCTCAATTATTCGTAAGTAGGAAACTCATATATATATATATATATTACAGCTGCTAATTTTTTTAGAACTTTTAAACATTTTTAGTTAGTTTTTGAAATTATTTCATACCTAGTCAATATTTGTCATGTGAACCATCATTAACTATTCAGCGTTACAAAAACTGTTATATGATAATAATATTATGATACTTAAGTTAATTATTAAATAATTAATAAACAAAATCATATTTTCTAATTATTAGTAATTACCTGAGTCAATATAATATATTAAAACGTATATAAGATGGTCATTATCAAATTGGGTTTTACATAAAATAATAATCGTTATTTGCATCATATAAAATTTCAATACATATAAATACTATACTGCTATACATTATTATTGCATTATTGTCAACAACATATATTACACATAAATAATATATCCTCTGATTTTTATAAAAACAAAACATATACACATTTTTCAGCTATTGTATCATAATAATACCATAGGAATATTAGGAATACAAAAAATAACAATCTTGACAACGCTCTAGCGAAAGTTAACTAAATATGTGTACTATATACATATTATAGGAGCTATAATAAAATAATATTATTTAAAATTTCTAAATATCCTATGTGCTCTAAATAAATAAGCTTGACTAATAGTCTTATTGTTATGAAACTTAAATTATGTTGTAAATAAGTACAACTCACGATTTAAAATATTTATAAACGACTATTACGCAATTATATTATTAAATTACGAATTATCAATAATATCATTGCTAAATTACAAATTATACAAGTCGTATAGTATATATATATAATATATAATAATTTTAATTTTTCTAGCCAATATTTATAACTCTACATTAAAAACAAAAATAAATATTAAAATACGTCTTAAATAAATAATATTGTAATTTTTATTATTGAAATTTAAAATATACTATTATATTTTGAAGTCACAAAAATTAATAAATTAACTTTAAAAAAAAACGGTAGTCTCTATATCTTTTATAGTAGATTTTAAGTGTATACTTACCTTTTCATTGAGTAAGTCACTGCAGAAGCAATGGACGTGTTACATTTGAATATTAATAATAATTATGATAAAATATCATTGTATACAATGCTATAGCATTCGAAAAAACATGTTTACGTGGAGACAATGGTGGTATTTTATCTCTATACTATCTTAAGGATATTTTATAACATTTTATTAGTAACGATAATAATAAACGTGGTAGATTGAACTAAATTTAACAAAAAATTACTTAAAATATTACATATTATAGGTATAGGAAATAATAATTAAATATTATTTTATACCGCATAAATAATTGTTTGTAACGCGTATATCTAAGTCATCACAAAATGTATACTAATGTAAGTACAGTAAAATAGTATAAAAATATTTATGTTAAAAATAGATTTAAATTTAAAAAAAGTTTTAATATTAAAAATTGTCGCTGTATATTGTACAAAATAATAATTTAGATAAGTACGAAATTTCAATAAGTTTCAATTCCCTCAGATTAATATTTTTTAATAACAACAAAACAATTAAAATCGTTATACCTTTATATACCCATAGAACAGATTGTTATTTTTCGTTTAATAAGTATCTTAAGTTATTTTTATTTTTGTAAAAACCACTTATGAAAAATATTGTTCGAGAAATTCAAGCTTTAGTTTCTAAAATTAAAAATATGATGAATCTTTAACAATTATTAATTTTAAAATTTTCTTTATTTTGACAGACTCCGTCAAAATTTTAACTTAAAATACATAAAAAATGGAATTATTTTCGATATTGTCTAATTTTTATGTAAAAATCATTGTATTCAATTCTCAACCTGATTTGTAACCAAATAAATATTTGAATAACATAAAATTTCATAAAAATCTAAAATTACAAATGTCTATAAATAGCACAAAAAATCCAATAGATTTTAAAAACTATATCATGTCTATAAAATATTATAAAATATATTCGATAACAATAATTTAAAAGTAAAAATTATATACTGCAGTTATTAATTTTTATAACAACAACAAATAAATTAATTTAATCAAAAACTACTGATTTTGTGTAAATATTCCGTTATTTCCGTAATTACTTTTTTGTTTTATCCGATTATTTTTAAAAGTGCGGAGAAACTTTTTACTTTTAATATCCATAAAGTAATATACCTAACTAGAACTTTTTTTTAATTTTAATTGAAACTACCCTTAAAGTTAAAGATTGTTCACTTTTACCACTTCTAAAAATTATTTCAAACATAGGAATAAAAAAAAAAAAAACACAATATCATGATTTATTGTAAAACCCATTATTATATTCATTCTTATGCTTAGAATCTAAAATAGCTTAAGGCTTTTGCCAACACGGATTGGTTCTTTTTATTAATTTTATTTTAAATAATATTGTAGGTAGGTATAATTATGTATTTATATCCGTATTATGATCACTATTGATATAAGGTTATTTATATAATATAATATAAGCCTTTTTAATTGAATTAATACATTTCGATTGTTTTATCGGTTCTGAGACCAAGTCGAGATTAAAAATATTAACATTATAGTTTGTAATATTATTATATATTTTATTTAATTATTTTTTATTTATTAACTGTTGTTATTATCTGTAAATATGCAATACGCACGGTTAATATCTAATAATGATGTTTTTTTTTCTACTGTACCTATACTGCAGTTTGCCTTTGACGAGTTATTCTTTAAATATAGTTTAAATAAATAAATAAAATAACATAAATAAATATTCCTTTATAGAATTATCTATACTTTTCAGTAGGTACGATTAAAGTTTAGATGCCTACGTGTCATATATTTATTCAACATTATAGACCGTTTTAATCGACTACGAATCCAATACGGATATGATTTATGATTGAGAACGCAGCCTATAATATATATATATATATATATATATTAGATCATCGTGATCTGTATACAGTTTATCTGCAGCTAGGTACCGCGGAAATCCGGCTGCTCGGCCGACGGTGAAGTCGCATATTTTATTGTAAAATAATTACGACGTGCAAAGGCAACGCGCGCCCGCGCCGTCGTCGTACTGCACATTATACCTATACGGAAGACCGCGGTTTGGCATCGAGCACGACGCGCGCGGTCGACGGACTGCGTTGCGCGTCGGTGGCGAGAACGAGCTGCAGGATAACGTATAATATATATATATATATATTATATATATAATATAATATTATCATAATAATATAATAGACTACGTGTCATGAAGTCATTACTATTAATATTCGCGAATTCGTTTGTTACATATTATTATGGTTGTACAGTGCACCTCTATGGGTTTCTCTCGCGAAAGAATAAAATAACATCAGCGCCGTACTCGCGTCGTGCTCGGTGTATTAAAATAATAAAAATAATAATAATGACCATCGAGTGGTAGTAGTAGGTACCTATGAAAAAAAAAAAAAAAAAATTAAAAAACAGCATATTGTAATTTATATAATAAACGCGACGAGTATTACATTCTGTATATTATAATATATACCTCTACTTGCCGCCGTCCTGGTACCACAACGTTTAATATTAATAATATTAATAGTAATAATAATAATAATAATAATAATAATAATATCACGAGCGGCGCGCGGGAGTGAGACGGCGGCCGTCGTCGACGTCGACGACGACGGTACCGTTGATAATCGGACTGCGCCGCAACCGGTCCGGGGGGGGACCAATGAGGCGTGGGCGCCGCGGCCGGCCGACCAATGACGGGCCCGTGGCCCCGGCGCGGTCGTGTAGTGGCTACGAGCCGCGGGCACCGGCACCGCGGCGGTGGTACCTGACCGTCAGTCGGCCACCTATACGCGCCACCGAACAACCGCGTAAACGCACACGCGCGCACGTACACACGCACACACGCACACACACACACACGCGCCCGCGATATCGCTCGCTCGCTCCGCACATCGCTACGGGCCACGTTTCCGGGCCGACCGAACCAGTACCGATAATATATCCTACGATATCACAACAACAACAACGACGACGACAACAGTAATAATAATAATAATAATAACAACACTTGGCATTATATCGCGCGAGCCGCGGCGTCTTTCGTCGTCTCGCTGCTGCCCCTCGTCGCACGCGGCTACGCTTGCTCGTCCGCCGAAAAAGCCACCCTCGGGCGCTACCCTCGGGGACAGTATTTCCGAAAAATGACGTCGTTCCGATCGCTGCGGTCATCGCGAGTTTAACGCGACGAAATTTTTTTCGCCCTCATACGCGCGCGCCCGCGTGTCTGTGCGCATATACGCGATCGTGTGGCCTGCGAGGTATACACTGCCTACTTGGGTACCTGCAGTACAGTGCGAAGTCCCGTCGAATCGTCGTCGTTGAATTCCTGCTACGTCGCGAGCACCTATATATATATATATATACAATAAATACGCCTATCAAGTTTTCAAGTTATAATACATATAGGTACATATTAGGTATACGTATGATATAAATATATCGGTTTGTGTGTACAGTGCGACCCGCGTATACTTATACATACCTGCAGCAGTACACGTGATTTTCTGCGTTCCGAGTGCCTGATCGCCCGTGCAAGTGGATACGTGAATAAATGGTAAAGTACACTATATCTTCTTGGATAACATACACCGATGATACTCTGCACGCGTTACAGACGGGGATAATTTCCGCGGGATTATAGCCAGCTTATTTGCACGACGTGTTCGCCGCGCGGTTGACGATAATATTATTATTAGGTACACGTATGTCGTGATTATAGGTAGGTATATAACGTTTATCGGCGTGCAGTGTATATACCGCTTCCGGCTAGGGGTCGCTGAACGTTCGCACCCCGAGGCCGAGTCTTCCGGATACTCGACCCATTGCGGGCGATTCGCCTTGGGTAACTATATCGAACGCGTTATTGTTTTCCGCGGAATTTTATATAGTACCTGTATACTGCACTATGCGGTTATTGTACCTATACCTATATGATATATGTATAGGTATATCATCGAATATAAATGTATATATTATATGATAATATAACTATATCGTTTGTTTTATTTCACAAACAGAGTTCACGTAAATGAAATCAACGCTCTTGTAAATTTTGTTTTTGTTTACTTACCGAATTTTCACAACATTAGTGTATAATATTGCGACTATTTTTTACTAACTACATAGATATAGGTATATTTAAATACCTTAACATATTTTTTTTATACTTTTATCATCTTATTTTTAAATATATAAACTTAAAATTATGTGAATAATACATATCATATACTTAACTATAAGCATACTAAATAAATTCAAAGTCTTCATTTAACTATCCTTAATCTAAAATTGTAATATCAAATTATTATTAAGTATAACTACCTACTATAATATGTACCTACATTTTTCATAGTTATATCTAAAGATCAGAAAACCATCATCATACCATTAATGAAATGCAAAATAGAATAAAAATATAAATAATTTAATAAGTAAAAAAAACTAAAATGAATTATTTTCATTGTAACATCTATTTAAAATAATAAAATTGTTTGTTTTTAAAATTTTGAATTTTATTGACATTATAAAGATGTTATTTTTTTATTAAAATTATTGCATTATTCAATTCTTATCATGAAAAATGTTTCATGTTTCATTTGTTTTTTATTGCCCTGCTTGGTTATCTATGTGTCATGTGTTCGAGAAAATTACAAATCGTACATTAAAAATATAAGTATTAGATTGTACAAACGTAGATTTAAGCTTACACTTTTTAAAATATTTTCTATAACCATAAAAATTAAAATTAAATTATTATTAAAAATTTGAAAAATAATAACATTTAAAAAATGTATTAATATTTACAAAATACAGTACCTATAGTCACTCGATAATTCGAACTTCATGGGACCAAATTAAAAATTCGATTTATAGAGGTTTTTGATTTACCGAGTGTTCGAATAATCGAGAGAAAAATATTAATTCGAATTAAAGAGAGGTGAAAAATTATTGTATATATGTATATATTACATTTATTTTGACATATATTTATTATACATACGTGCATATTATTAAATTTTACAATTATTAATTGACATTTATTTATTATATTATTATATTTTACATATTAAAGAAATCTGTTATTTTTTTTTGTGATAAATTGCTGGCCACAATTTGGTTCATAGCGTTGTCTAACTTACTGATACCATTGAAAATTGTATCGCATCTTTTTTCATTCGTTTCAGTTTACTCAAAAAATTGACGTAATCCTAAAAAAAGTTTAGATTAGGTAGGTAAGGTACGATAACGTTTATCAACTACGATAATATTTAACCACTGACGTTATTATAGTTTCATTACGAGTATGTCAAATAGATTGTACGTAATATTTATGTGTATGTACATTGTATTTACATATGAACTTACATATAATTGCGTTTAAAGAAATTCGAATTATATAGAGGTTTATGGAATAAAAATTCGAATTGTAGAGTGTGTCCCACCGAAAGACATTTTGAAATATCGAGGGGACCAGAATACATGTATTTTTTTCTAATTATAGCGGTTTTTCCATGGGACTTAGCGTTTAGTTCGATTTATGGAGTTTTTAGAATTATCGGAGTTCGAATTAACGAATGAAGACTAATGTAGTAATTATTATAAATACAAATGCCTTACATTAATAAAAATTATAAAAATCTGTATACCTAACTACAAAATTATAGTAAATAATGCAATTGTGCCTACCTACAATATATCTATACTTAATTATTATTTTAAACAATTTATTATTCTTTTGTGATATTATATCCACTCAGTAATTAATACTTCGAGGTCTTAATAATATGTATATTGCATTATGACCATAATATTATGCACCTATATCTTTTAGGTCATTAAGTTTTAATTACTTTCAGAATATTCTTAACAGAAGTTGAGTTTCCCTATAATTGAAAATAATATGTAATAAAATAGTAATTAAATCATAATAAATAAGATAAAATTATTAAACCATCATACATTTAACTTTGTAACTTTTAGAGAATCCGGGTTCTTACTATATTTTATTTTTATTTTTTATTTATATTGTTTATTGTTTTTAATAATTATACTGTCATTGTAATACCTATCTAGGTTGTACCTCTGATTAATAAATTATCAAACGAGACCCGCATACGACCTACACTTAAATTCAATATTATTAATAAGGTTTATTTTTTATCGAATAGTTTCAGTGAAAATCAATCAAATTATGTTTGCGGTAGGTATTAACATATTATACTATACGTAATATACTTGATAACTTTCGAAACCGGTAGGTGTAAAAATTCATTTAAAAAAATGTCTTATTCATATACAATAACATGCCATTATCATTGTAATATCGTTCTGCAGCCTGCATAAGTCTAGTACAATATTATCACAGTTTTTAAACCTACTTAGAATTGTTTTTATATATACAATATAGGTACATTTGTGTATTAAAAATCATCTCCCATCATAAATGGTTATGATAAGTTTTATTGTCCAAGACCTGCATACATGTTTTTGAAGAAAAAAAAATAAGAGGTGTGCTGAAATTATATTATTATATATTTATATATTGTATTATTATTACGTTAACATTTTTTATTTTTTTCTTAAAATCGTAACAGAAACGGATAAAAATCAATTTAACGAATAATATACATATAGTATACTCTGTATAATATTTCAATTCGACGGGTAAAAATGTATGGTAATTGTGTGGTGTACCCATTTACACTTAATAACGAAGAAAGGGCAGATCGAACTCACCTGTAGGTAAATGTATACAATAGTTGCATATAGATTCTCGTATATTAAAAGGGTACGAGGTACGGGCACCTATATATTTTCTTTTGTATACTTGGTGTATAGATACGCGTGTGTAATTACGAGTAATTTTTTTTCCTCTTTTATTGCTGCCGTATTATCATTTCACAAGGTTGCAGTATCACATGTCCCTATGAAGACGAACAGAAGCAATGACATACACACACAGACACACGCCGTATACATATACATATAATATAGAGTCTGGCGGTGTGATTATTTAATAATGCCACGCCGACGCCGGTCCGCAGTCAAGTCAAAATAACAGGGCGAAATGATAATACACATCGCGTGTCAGCTCCTCGATTTTATATGCATTACGATGGGCATATTAGATACGTGCAGGGGGTGTGAGAATGGTATAAATAAAAAAAAAAAAATGTGTCATTATATCGACAGATCGGAGGCGACTAATTTGGTTGATTGAGAGTAAAAAACACAGAATTACATAGGTATACTATAATATATAATGTGATGTGCGTTCGACGGCGCGTGAGAACTCGATCTAACTGTCACGACTTATTGTACCCATATAAATTGTAGGATAATGATCGATAAAGTATTATTATTTATTGATTTGTATTAGGTACCGATAGTTCAGTAGCTCAAAGTGTAATATACATTAATATTTTACCGTAAAGACAAGCCAATAGTGAATCAAACAAAACTGTTCGTATGATCATATTATGATGATAATAATATGATATGACCATTATTCACTTCACTTCGGTTAGTCCACGAAATATAATAACGTGTAGAACTCTGATATATTGCATTATTCCGTAGATAGGTTCTTTACCATTCAGTTCATTAAATTGCAAATTACCATGCCGGCAACAAACGATGCAATTAGTGTTTCATAGAATCTACAATTGGGTATCTATCATGTGCTACTATCATAGTTACTATATTTTATATTCTTTGAAACTCAATAACTCATAAAATACTACAAAAAAAATATATGTCTATCCTTACGTCCTAGTTTTTATCCAATTCTAATACTGATAGTGTTTCGCAATTCTTAGTATTTAGTTATGAATGCAATGATATATAATGTGCCATGAAAAAAATAAGTTAGAAAACTACTAACTCAAACACTTAATACAATTAATATTCTTGCAACGCGTACATATTTCCAACTATAGGTACCTATTATATATTGAATAATAATTATTTATTTTGTAATTATTGTTTACTGCTCTCGTCGTAAGACGTAATTAATAAAATAATTCAAATGCTATAATATCATGAACTTATTTCATATTATACCTAAACTCATTTTCATATATTTTTATTACAAATATAATATGTTTGCTACAGCACCACTAAAATAGGTTAAAAAGATTAACGTTATAAATGGATTCATTTCGTATATAATATTACTATATTACGTGTGTTTAATTATTTACATATGAATATAATTATGAAAGTTATCTAGGTACTTTACAACATTTAGTTTTCAATTAATTTTAGTGCATTATTTTATTCTCTATAGTTACATTTACGCATTAATTAATAATAGTAATTATAGATATAGGTAATACAATTATTAGTTCACTAAACTTATTTTTAATTCATAGTAAATTAAAAAATACAATCATAGGATAAGCGAACTGAATAAGTATTTATATTGGATGCATTCATTTGCATGTTGTACATAAGATACTATAAATATAGAAATATAGCATATAATACGCTAAAAACTTGTTTTGAAATACAATAAGATTTGATCTTGTGGTTTTTAAATATCAATGTCCTATT